CTGAAGCTTCATGCTGTCATCAAAACCGCTCCACCTCTCGATAATAGCACCCTGTGCCTTCAAAGCCCCGTTGATAGGTCTGATGTGCGACTCGGCCATTCCGCTGAAAGGAGAAGATGCACTATCCCTCCTCGATACCTCCTCGATACGGTGCATTGGCGACTATTCTGTCGATACCACATATATTCCTTTCAGAATAATCTCCGACTGGCTGCACTGCCGCCTCGCACAGGCCGCAAGCTATGAAAGGGGCCTAAAGGTGGAGATCGCGAGGTTGGAGATGTTGGCGTAGCGTTCGTTGAGAAGTCTCCGAAGAAGTGTCGTATGTGCCGTCGAGTGGGCTAGATGGGTTAGGAAATGCCTTTCCGAAATAGAATCAGAGAAGCAAAGTCCAAGGAATAAATTAAATCTTTTCTGTAAGTTACGAATGTTTTAATACTTCAACTGTTCATCAGCGCAACGGTTCTACTCAACAAAGCTGTGTAGGACGATGGATACCGTAGGAGGGACGAATCCCTCTGAGGAAACGGTGACGACAAGCGGGTCAACTGTATTCCCGAGCACAGACCAAACTTCGGTCGCACGCGAAAATGGCAACATAAAAGGGAGCAGTGGGACATGCGAGGGAGATTTCCCTCATATTGATCGAGGTGTTGGCTTTATTTGACTTACTCAGAGATTGCAGAGAAACCTCCGAGTTACGGGCCGCAGCAGTGTCGGCAGCATATGCTGCCGACACGCCCACTCGTCCGTGATTGGCTACCACCACACGGGTTACTGTGTGCAGACGCGAGCCAGCCAGTCATAGACTAGTGGGCGTGCCGGTAGCTATATAAAGAGGTTCGAAGGGAAACACAGGAACCGAGGTGGTTTCGTTTTCACTTACATTCATGACCGTTTTTGTAGTGTATTATCATGCACAATAGTTCTTGAAAAGAAGGCAAACATCAAAAGCTAACTGACTGTAAACGTGATGCTCAGAAACTTTGTGAACACGCTGGCTAGACTGGGATTTGGATTCGGGTTCGGTGGTACGCAAATGCTGCAATACATTCAGATGATTCCAGGTAGTGTAGGGCTGCTTTTATACTTTGCAATGCTGCGGACGTTACGGAAAGCTGCGGGACACTGTGAAGAGCGTCAACACACGCACTGACGCATGACGCCTACTTGGCGCACAGTCGCTGTCTTATTCAGAATGTGCCGAACTTGGATTTGATCAATCGAAAGGCATCTTCTGCGCATCACATGCATGTGTAGACGCTCTTCGCACTTCCCCCACCGTCCGCATTGTCGGCACAACGTCAGCAGTGGCGCAAACTATAAATGCAGCTTAAAGGAATCCGTACCTAACCATGCATTTGCGTCCAACAAAAACTTCCGTCTCGCCATGTCCATGGCCGTGGAAGATCGCTTGAGCCTGCTGCTGACTAATGATTGATCCAGAACGAACCATTCTCAAATCAGTGAAAATCCTGACGGAATATGTGTGAGACAAATGCTGATCGCACGCATAAGGTATAGTACGGTAAGAATGTAGCAGAGCCGTCGAAAGACTATCCATCTGAAATGAAACCACTTCCGGTCACGTTCATTTTTTTATTTTTGGCATTAACCCATAAAAAGCGTAATAACATAAATGTCAGGTGGAAGTTTGATACACATGGAGTCATTCACCTTAGAAAGTGCGCTGTCTTGCTGGACAGTAAGAACACGACCATACTAAGCGTTTGAGGGAATCGAAAAAGTGGGGATAGGAGAGTTTGCGAAAACGCTCAGAAGCGTATTGACCAATTTGGTCATCTGCTATCTAGTGCGTCCGCTATCACCCTAGGCAGGTTTCCGTAGACGTGACAGTCAAACTGGAAACCTTCGGCAGATTTCTCTGTGGTGCCATCCTTCTCAACCAACCCTGAGAATGATCCTGGCTTTATGGGCGAAACTGTGGTTGCAGCTGGCAGTCAAGTCAAGTGACGACCACAAATACTGGCAAATATGGTAAGGTGGGTCTATCGCCCATCGTCGCGATAGTATTATTCGGGTGCACTTTTTAGCACTAGTCTTTGCTAGTGCTTATTGAGCCGCGGGAAAAAGTAAAGCAAAAAATAGAAGGAAAAGTGCTTCGCGGGGCGATTTTGTGGTTTTGGGTGTTGCAGAAGGTGACAACCTGTTTGCTAGGTCCTTGCCTCGAAACCTTGGAACTCTACGAGGGAAAAGTGCAATCGAGAGTGGAGGAATCAAAAAAGTTTGGGGAATTACTAGGAGGGAAAATTCTCATTTGGGGTTATCGAGGGTTCCTGATTACGAATATGAGGTTCATTTTTGGCGTTGGCGCCAATTGGCGCCACGACTGAATCTCACAAATTCGCTGTAAACTTGTATATAGGGGTTATTTGGAGGCCCTGATTACGAATATGACATTCCTTTTGTCACTATTGCT